CTGTCTGTCTGTCTGTCTGTCTGTCTGTCTGTCTGTCTGTCTGTCTGTCTGTCTGCACAGTATCACTGTAATACTATCAATGTGCTTCTTTTGACTTTAATAAAGAATCTAAGGCAATTTTGCCTGGCCCATTGAGCTGATTTTTTCTTTCCTCATCCTTACTATCGTCATTTTCCCTCTACTTCTTTAGCATGTTTGTCTCTCTCTTGTGACCTGCTATTTTCGGGGTGCCTTGATAGTCGAAGCAGACTTTGTGCTGTTGAAGCTAGAGAGGTGAGCAGTCTAAGTCTGATTCTCTATTTGGGACTTCTCTGTTGACATCCACTCCTTGGCGCTCATTATTATGACCTAATGCAGTTGCGAGCGCCGTAAAACTTTACTAACTCAAAAGCTTCTTTTGACTTTAATAAACAGTCAGAGTCAATTTTGCTTGACTTATTGAGGTGTCGTTGTTGTGTTTGACAGGGCAAGGAGTGAGAGAAAGAAGGAGAGGGGAGGAGAGCTACGACGGAGAGGAGGACACGATGGAGACCCTGGAGAGTGACATGAGCATGCAGAGAGGGAGAGGGAGAGGGGAGGGGGGAGGAGTGCGGCCCAAGACAAGGAGGAAAGAGGAGAAGAGGGAGGTGTCGCTGGACGCCACGCTGGAGGAAGACAGTGACGGTGAGGATGAGGGGGAACCTTCTTCTTTATCTTGCGGGTGGTTGGAGGGTGTCACTGATTGGTTCTTTTTTTTTTTTCCTCCTGCTATAAATGACCATTGATCGTTTCAATAATGCACTTGTGCTTTTCTGTACTCAGATTAAAAGAACTTTCTGTATCTCAGCCTTGAACAAACACAGGTCTACACTTCTACTTGCAAGATTCCTCTATTTCTCTAACCTCCCCCCCTTTTTTTTGTCCTTCTTTCTTTTTTTTGTTCTGTCCTTTTCGTTTTTTTGTTTTTTTTACTTTATTGTGAGGCATCGTGGTGAAATCAGGCGCTCGTCAAAATAAGGAAAGTCAAGAAACCGGCATTTTTCCGCAAGTTTGGTAATTTTTATCGAATTTTTGTTTTTTGGCTCAACACATTTCATGCCCTTTAAAGAACACATTTCTGAGTGAGTTTTACTCAAAAACATCGATTAAAGGTATAAAAGACTTAAATTTTCAGCTTCCACAGACTCTCAGGCTAAGGAAATAAATCAACTTTGGTGGCCATTTTCTCGCTAATTTTACCTCTTAAGCCAGGTGACCCCCACCTCCTTCAATCTCAAATATGTGGAATTGTTTCCAAGATAAATAGATAATTTTTTTTCAGCAAGAGCAAGGCAAATTAACACGCTTTAAGATTATACCTATAACTCCGTATGCCCCAAAATTGACGAGCGCCTGATTCCACCGCGTCGTGCCACTTATAGCAAAATTCAACTTTTTGGCTTGTTCTAAGGAAGACATTTTCCTTACTGTCTTTTCCAGTTTGTCGTTTTTTAGTGGTTAATCAACTGTCTATCATGTTCTCTTGTGTTCCCCTGTTGAAAACATAATTCTGATCTCATTCCTCTTCTGTTGAGACTATAATTTACGGGTGTCTGTGGTGTAGTGGTGAGTTCATTACTGTGACATGCAAGCAATATTAGTTTGATTCCTACTTGTGGGTTTAAAAAAAAAAAAAAGTATCTCCATCTGTCTACTGGGATGTAGCAGCTGTAGCCGATTCTGCCAGTGGTAGCTTTGCCAGGCAGAGTGGAAGCAGCCTGCCTCCTTTAGTTTAAGTAAGAGTTTTACGGAACTTGCAACACAATAAGGTCATATAAGTGCCGGAGATTAGAGGTGTTACAAGAGAGTAACAAACAGGAAATAGAAGGAGGAGAGATAAGGATGATAAATGTTTGGTAGAAAAGAAGGAGCAAACCACAGCAGAGCACCCGCCAACCACCCGCTAGCCTGTCTCCTAATTTATCCTAGTCATGACGTTGGGGATGTAAGACATTGAGACCTTTAGAATTGGGAACCCTAGATAAGATCAACTAAGATTGAGGACTTGATTGGTCCAAGAGGGAGATCTTTGGTGGATATACCATACCCCAACATCAGTATACCTGTCCCCGTGGTTATATGCACCCCGCATAATTTAGCAAAATTTGATAATTTTTTGCATAATTTCTGATTATTTTCTTTTATCATTCTTTGTTGAAATTAACAGAATCGCATAATTTCACATTTTTGGGCTCAGTTTGCATAATTTCACAATTTTTCTTGCATAAAACCACGGAGACAGCTATACAAGGATTCAGCGTCAACTCAGAGATGCAGTCATTGCATTTTAATGTTCAATGATACATATACATCTATACAACGATGCACAACTAGCCCCCCCCTTCCTGGCGTATAGCGTAAGTTAGAAAAAACATTCTGATCCCCCCCTGAGGGCAGTGCTACTTGTGCACTGGCACAATCAGTAGAAGGACCCTCGGCAACATTTTGGAGAGAGCAACGGAGCATCAATGAACATGTCTGAAGTGCAGGGATGTTGCTTCCTGAAACAAGAACAAGAACAAGAGGGTGTCTTTAGGCCATTCCCAACCGATTTATCAATGTCATGCTCATACTGTGCCGGAATAACTTAAGAGGAATTGCTGCTTTTTTTTTCCTCACCCTTACTATCATCATTTTTCCTCTACCTCTTTTGTATGCTTGTCACTCTCTTGTGACCCGCTATTTCTGGGGTGTCTTGATAGTCGAAGCAGACTTTGTGCTGTTGAGACTAGAGAGGTGAGCAGAGTAAGCCTGATTTCCCGTTTGGACTTCTCTGTTGACATCCACCCCTTGGCGCTCATATGAACTTATGCAGTTGCGAGCGCCGTAAACCTTGCTAAAACGAAAGGATGCACAACTCACTCACACGAGCGTAACCAAACAGTGTATTTGTGGCCAGGAACTGTTTCTCCAAAGAGTTGCAAAAGGGAATAAACAGGCATTCTTTTGTCCATCCAGTGACCGATGTCTCCACCCCTCGCGCTGTGAACCAATCACCTTCCAAGCCAGTAAGTAGGAGGAGCTCCGCTGGAGGGGACGCAGCCAATCAGAGCCCTGCAAAAACAAGGAGGCCCGCCTCCCACCAACAGACTGCCAGCGAGACGGAGGATGAGATGAGGGCCATTTCTGCCGCAAAATTAAAGTAAGTTTTTGCTGAGGTTTTTAACACTTTACAGTCACTTGGCGCAATATTGCGACGCTGAAAATGATCCGTTCCGGTCACCTGGCATAGTTCTGGGCCAGGCCCAAGAAGTCTGTTGTAGTCACTCTCCTGGCTGAGTGACCAGATGGGGTATTTTAAAATAATAATAATAGTAATAATAAATTACACTTTTATTTGTCCCAGAAGGGCACTTTGTTTTACAATGGCAAACATACATACATACATAAATACATAGTAATAAATACGTACATACATAAATACATACATGCATAAATTATAAATACATACATAAATACACACTATTACACAAATACAGAACAGTTTGCAAACAATGCCACTGTCGGTCGCCACTGTGCAGTGCCCTGTATTTTGAGCTGGGGTTGTCGTGTCTTGCTCAAGGACACACTCCAGTGACCACCCATCTGATCCCCGTGTACTCCTGGCTGTGTGAATGCAAAGTTTTAAGAGCGATTCCTGTAGCATGTTTTCATTGCTTAGTGGAGACTAATCCATGCCTCGGTTTTGTAGTGTTTAAAACACCTAGACTGCTGTCTGAAGGGGGAAAGGGGGGGGGGGGGTTAGACTATTAAACTGCTTATTATCACTATA